ATACTCCTCTACCCTACCACTATTTCTCATAATATTAGTACCACCTCTTACCAGAATCGAACAAAAATACCAAACAATAAGCTACAACAAACAAACTAAATTGCTACCAGCACCAAATCGAGCCATCACCTAATTAGTACCAACGACCATTAGAAGCAGATAAGAAGGTCCCTAGATTATTTACTCTGTAGCAAACCTTTATAGGGGGTAATAAATTTAAACTAAGAAGGGATCAATGTGTGACGATAATGTCCGCGATATTCCTGGACTATAAACCGAAGTGTAGTCTCTTCATCTTTTAAGCAAATGGGCGTAGCAGGAGAACGACGTTACGGTATTGGTGGAAATGGGCGCTGTGAACCCGTTGACAGCCGCTTGTCAGGTCCACGTTGACTGGGAACCGGTCGCGTCTCGTTCGCTCCTGCTGGATGGGGAATGGGGCGATCCTTGTCGTGGGGGGATTGGAAAAAGAAGGAGGCCTGGCGGTATTGTTGCGAGGAAAAGAGAGAAAAACGTCGGCTTAAGAAGCTGAAATTCGCAGTACGAGTCTCGTCTCGGGACAAACCGATCCGACCGTAAATTTCCTGCAGAACCGTATTTGGGAGTTCGGTTTTCAATTAGTGCACGTTTTGGTGTATGCGCCGTATTTTTCGCCAAAAAAAGGAGCTAGTAAAATTCGGTAAAATTCCGGGATTTGTTAGCATTTATGACGCTTGTTTTGGAAGAGTTGGTTGTAAAGCAGGGCGGAAAATCGAACGAAAGGAAATGGAAAAACCTCTCGATTACAATCCTGCTCGGAATGAGTGGTGACTAGGGACAGGGAGGAAGACGGGAGAGTTTATGTGTTTCCTAAGAGTACACTCCTATCCACAAACCAGATATGTCTCGCTCCATCGAAGCGGCAAAGGAACGAATGCTCTCTAGATAATGACAAGTTTTTAATTAATTACTCGCCGTGAAGTAAGCATTTTAATTTAATAAATGCTTTATGTTTCTTTAATGTACGGGTCGACGAAATTGGTATAGTAGGTACCTGCAAATTTTTTTGAGATAGGTTCTTTTTCGAATTTATTTTATGTATGATGAGATGTGAATCATTGAACCGACGCCGCTGCGGCGAATATAATTAAATTTATTTCAACAATTTTATTACGAACGTTTTTCATTTAATTAGCGGAACAATTCGCAAATATTGTCAAATGGCGAAAATGATTATTGCGAAAAATAACATGCACTCGTTTATTCAATTATTTATATAATCAAATCATTCTTTGTGCACGGTTCGAAATATATTTCATGTTTTTAGATTAATTATATAGCAGCAATAATAAACGAGAATGCGCCCGAGTGTTTTTTTGTACAACGCCGGCGAAAATGAAAAATAAATAGTTGTTACAGAGAAGTGAATGGAAAGCGGCGGGATTATTAAAAAAAACAACGCATGTTTCATGCGATTATTACTAATTAAAACAAATGTTTACTTTCGTTGCGTTGAATATTAAATTATTTTTTATTGTTTGCAAATTAATATAATTTAGTAGCGAGTGAAATTACCGATTTGTGTATTATTCGACGGATTATCCACGAAGTTATCGACCGAAAAATTAATAACGTACGTACATACCTGTATTTTTTGTGCAATCCTACGCGTGGAGACGCTAGAAACAGGCCCGTGGCGATTCCTCCAGACCGAAGCGGGACCTTTGGATTCGCAACAGCCAAACACCTCGTAATTTCGGCCGGCATAGCTGCGGATATCGGCAAAGCGCCCGGCGATTGTGGCCACAACGGCCGACCGCTCGTCTGTTCATTAAACGGGAACCTTGCGGTACAATGCACACTCCATCAACGGCGAATTAACCGACACCCCGACAATGTTGCTCCGCTCCGGAGCTCTCCAGCTTCCACTCCGCTCGGGAGTGTGTGTGTTTTCTAAAATTTCGAAGCGAATGGGACGGCTGGAAAAGGGGAAATTTTGATATTTTTGAATGATGTCTGGGTTTTATAAAAAAATTGATCATCAGAAAATCTGCTTAATTTGTGTACCTACCTAATAAAAAATTAGGTAGTGCCTAAAGGGAATTATTTGGATTCAATGCAAACTTTGAGAGAAATTGAACATTTTTTACGTCGTTTTAAAAAGCAGTGCAATGATAAAGTAAAGTGTGCAATCGTAAAAAGTAAAGTAGAGTAAAGAGGATTAAAGTAGAGTAAAGTAGAGTAAAGTGGACTAAAGTAAAATAGAGTAAAGTAGAAATAAAGTCGATTAAAGTAGAGTAGAGTAAAGTAGAGTAAAGTAGAGTAAAGTAGAGTAATGTAAAGTACAGTAAAGTATAGAGTTAAGTAGAGTAAAGTGGAGTAAAGTGGACTAAAGTAGAAAAATGTAAAATATAGTTAAGTATAGAAATAAAGTCGATTAAAGTAGAGTAAAATAGAGTAAAGTAGAAATAGAGTCGATTAACGTAGAGTAAAGTGGAGTATAAAGTAGAATAAAGTAAAATAGAATAAGGTAGAAATAAAGTCGATTAAAGTAGAGTAAAGTAGAGTAAAAGTGGAGTAAAATAGAGCAAAGTAGAGAGAAGTAAAGTAGAGTAAAGTAGAGTAAAGTAGAGTAAAGTGGAGTAAGTAGAATAAAGTAAAATAGAGTAAAGTAGAAATAAAGGCGATTAAAGTAGAGTAAAGCAGAATAAAGTCGAGTAAAGTAGATTAAAATAGAGTAGAATAATGTAGAATAAAGTACAGTAAAATATAGAGTAAGGTAGAGTGAAGTAGACCATATTGAGTACAAATTTACCCTTATCTGCATAAACAAACTAGAAAATTTAATATCGATGTATAGAAGTAGTATCATGGAACAGACAACATAACATTAATGTTAACATGTAACAAATAAAAACATCGACACTGTGTGAGTTAAACGGACGGGTTAAATTTTCCGAGATATAAAAATGAAAGGCCGTTAAAAAATATCGTAAATTTTTATCGGCGCCATTAGCGTCAACATGCGCTATCATTCGTTTAATAACGACCACCGTATTGAGTGATGTTTATGGTACATCAATTCGTAGTAATTCCGATGATATTCATAAAGCCCTTCGGTCGGAGCGGTGTCATTTCAGTTTAGTGAACGCCGAATTCGCGTCGCGCGAATATTCGTATATAAACGAATGACAAGCGAATCCGTTTTATCCATTAGGTTTTACGACAGCGGGGGAGCCGCGGGGGCGGCGGGAGGCGGCGTCGGGCGCAATCTCTGCCGTCCGAAAACGAACGATCCTTTTTTTTTATTGCATTTTTATGCATAAATAAACAAGTAATCATAAACGGCGAGACTTTTTGAATAAATAAAAAAATGATTGTGCGTCGGGCTAATTGAATATTTTTAATTGAATTCGCCTGATGATGGAAAAAAAAATCTTATACCACAAAATGTACGAACAATTTTTCGTAAAAGCTGGTAATTACGAAACGTTATTTATTAGTTACGAATTCCACGCGGTAAAATGTAAAATCTAAACCATCCGGTAAAAAACCTAAAATAAACATAGAAAAGCATCGCAAGAATGTGAATATTATTTGCGTAATAAAAAAACCGACTATTTATTAAAGGTATTCGAATATTTGAAGTTCAAACATGGTTTAAACGCTGCGCAATGTGTACTTAGGATTTCCTTCAAAACAAACAGGCATAAAGAATAATATTTCAGCTACACGCATAAAATTTAATATAATGTCAGCGCTTGCACAGTAATTCGAGCCTCGCAGGAATTTTTCACCAGAAAAATCGTAAAAACGCAACGGAATCGCTAATTAGACTCGTCCCCGTCGCTATCGAGAATAAACCTATTAAAACTGGAGACCAAACGGATAAAACGGGCAAGGTTTCGCCTCTAATGCAAATGAATAATTCAGTTTATTTCATAAATATTGACAATAACGTGGTACTTACATTACTGCAGTGGCATCGGCAAAGAGCAATGTTCTGCTATTTTATTTTAGCTATATGATGCTTCATAAAAATAATAAAGAATTGACTGTGCAAGGGTTTTCTTTCTTGCAAATAATCATATTTTTCAATTTATATGGGTAAGTGCAAATTTGTTTGCAAAATGGTCAATTCTATGAATAGAACAAAGATTAAAATAACAGTGGTTAGAGTGAGAAAATTGCAATCCCATAATATCCCATAATATCTTCAGGATACTTCAGGATGTGAATATTTTGGCGATTTTAAGAAGAAATTTATAAAAGAAGTTTATATCAAATTATGTCCGAAACCTCTTAGTTTTCGAGCCACAGTGTTACAGTTTTGGAAAAAATAGGTATTTTTTCTTATTAATCCAGATATTTTGATGAAATTTTGTACACTTTTTAATTATTAAGAAGCATTTTTTGAGGCAAATGATTTTTGATTTGATTTTTGTTGGAAAATGATTTTTTGAAAAAAAAATGGTACGCCACTGCTTTTTCTAAAAACCAAAATTATTTTTTAAATTTTCGTTTATTTTGGAGCAAATTCGGTCCGAAAACTTACTTTCGTACGAATAAAATTATAAATAGATTAAATAAAATTAAATAAATAAAATTATTATAGAAGTTATTTTTTTCTAAAATTGTAACACCCTGTAGCTTGAAAAGTAAGAGGTTTAGAACATATATTAATATAAACTTTTCTTCTTAAAATCATCCAAATATTCACATCCTGAAGTATCGGCACTTAATTAACACCCTGTATATGGGTAAATGCAAATTTGTTTGCAAAATAACAATTCTAAGAGTTGAACAAAGAAATATTATTAAAGCGGCAATCCCACAATATTACTTTCCCTATCCTTTATATGAGACTAAAGGAGGTTGTCTTTGTTGCACACATAGACCATAACTGTATATTGTAGAAGGAAATTCTATTGACAAAATTCAAATTCAACTTAAGTGGTGGATTTATATTGAAATAGTAAAAGGGCTGGTTTAATAAAAATAAGGTAGTAAAATTCGTTACGTAATCAACTGAGTGTTTATTAATAAACAAAATAACTACACAGGAACAATATAATATGAATTATGCCCAAAATACTATTTTGTTAAAATCCCACATGATAAAAAATCTCATTAGTAGTAAAATAAATCCGAAAGTAATTACATGTTGGGCTGCGCGCCATCGATCGAACGTCTTCCGTTTATCCGCCAAAAAAAATGATCTCTGTCCAGTCGCGTAAGGATCCTCCTCTCGGTCCCATCACCTTTTCCCTTTCGATTTCTTCCATTTACCGTAGAACGTCGTTATCGACTCGATGGTGATGCCGACAGATTGCGCCAATCCCACGTAACTGAACTCCTTATTTTCGCCGTTCGAGAGCACGTTTTGATTGCCGATGAGCAACGTCACCACGTCCGAGGCGCCCTTTTGTTGCTCGGCCAGAAAGTGACAGCACTCGATTATTTGAATGTACACGTGCATCTCCTTGTCCTTCTTCTTGGGGTATTTGATGAACGGTATGGGACTGCGCTCTTGCGGCCGTTGGGCGCGGAAGAATCGGTTGCCTCGATGGAATTGCGACTCCAGCCATCTTATGGCGTCTCTCGCTTCGATTTTTTCCCTTTTTAAATCGTCTAGAGCCGACACCACTGCAAACGATGCTTCTGTTAGTAAATTGATTACACCTAACTATAATATATTAATCAACAACGAGTGAATAACCAAATTAAATAGTTAAATGGGTTTATTGAATTGAAGTTTATTTATGTTTAGTTCGGCAATTACTAGCTAATTAAAAAATTATCAACGTAAATGCAATTAATAGATGCATATTAATTACCTATAGTTGGTTCAAAACAATTATCAATGCTCGTCATCATATTTGCCAAGCATTGTGGCTAACTTTTTAAAATAAATAGCAGGAAATAGATTAAGCTTAATACCTGCCGAATTTAATAATAACAAAGGATTATAGAAAATGTTAAATAGCAGATTTTTTTAGGCGAATTAAAGGCTATTGTCCACATCTTTTCAACAAAAATGACACAATTTGAGCTCTAAATAATCCAGATTCCGAAGTTTTTTCAGAAATTTCACTATTTTAAGGGTGAATTGTACACAAAATTTTTTACTCCCACTGTTAAATATATTTCAGATGATAAAGGAATTTGATGCGCTGTTTGGAAACCTGAAACAGGTACCCCTAATTTTCATTTTGTTTTTGTCATTTTGCCATTTGACAATTTTAGAAAAAATTCTTAGATTTTGTAAACTCTATAAAAGTTTGGCAACACTGCCTACTTGTGAAATAGTAAATCATAGGTGACGTGCATTGATATTTGTTTTGCACCAACTGTAGTAATTAAATATGATACAAATAACATAAAAGTTTAATGCGCACATCCGGTTGATTACAATATAACCACTCGGTTATACGAAACTTCTGAATACAAGCAATTAACCAAATCCATTTGTATGGCATTAAACATTTGGCAACAGCGCTGTCAAATCGCTTCAAATCGTCCCGTTATATGCGCAGTAGATATTGCGAATCGTTACATGTACTTAAACAACAACGTTACATAGGAAAGGCTGTCTTACCCGCTGTCGGGACCAGTACGATGAATTTCCTCGAGTGTACCAAATGTTTAACGATGTACGTGTATTTGATCAAAGCGTCGGCGTCCAAGACCAGATAGGGCGATAGAGCGACTCTACCAGCTCCTACTCGACTTTCGAGAGCTCTAACTTCGGCCGCCAGCCACAGCTGACCCATGTGCTTCATTTTCGACAATTTCCCTTCGTTTGATCTATCCGATGGATCTTTGTTAAACGTAGGAGATACCGCGGCTTTCGGGCTACCGTCATTAGTCGAAGATTCAGCCTACAAACAATATTGAATATATCACACTCTGTATAATAGAGTAAATTAATAACTTACATCATCGTTCATAAACATCAACGCTTTCTTTCCGTCTTCATCTGTGGCCTCTTTCAACTTGCACAACAGAACGTTGTTGCTTTCATCATAGGTAATGCCGGTTTCGGTGAGGGCGGTTAAAAATTTCCCGAAACCCATCAATTTCACTACCCTAACAGCGGCCTCTTCTTTCAGACTTAAACTTTTCTTGTTGATGAACGCCCAGTCGAGATTCTCCTGCGATCCCTTCAGCACATCTAAATCTTTAAGTATTATATCTTCCGAGAGCGGTATTTTTAAGCCTTTATTAACGATTTCCGATGATTTTAAATTAACGGAAATCATCTTCGGGCTACCCAAATTGATGTTGACTAAATTAATCAAATAGGTTAATTGCTTTAATAAACCAGTATTAGAAGCGCAAGATTTCAAAACCTCGATGTCGTTCTTGAGCCAATTGTTGAGAATGTTGATGCTTTGAAGGATGGATTCTTCAGTTATAATTTCTATAATGTCGTTGATGTCCATTAATTGAACTGTCTTAATCAAATCGTCGTTTGATTGCTCAGTATTGAAGTTATCCGGTGAGGTTATACCATTCGGATGTTGATCTTTTGGCGTTCCACAGTTTGATTCATCAGATACCTATAAAAATAAATATAATACAATAAATAAATTCAGTAATAATATAAAATTATACCTTAATAATGTCGGATTCTTCATCAGAAGAAACATCCAACACGTCCTCGTCATCGGAAATGAAAGAATCATCCGAACTACTGTAATCATCTTCATCATCTTCGTTATCACTAGCGTCAGATTCTTCGTCGCTTTCGTTCTTCAGCACTTTCCTTCGCCTCATTTTAGATCTACTTCGCTTCTTGCCGTTCATTATATCCTTAAGAATGCCGTTTAAAGCCTTCCCCTTCGCGTTATCGTTCAATGGGAAATTTAAGACCCCTTCTCTGATGTGATTGGTAACATTTTGAATTATCTGAGAGTAAACGCCCAGCACGAAAGCCACGGCGGTGGAGAGTTGCGGCGACTCGGTGGATTGCAATTTGCTGATGCACATCAAGCAAACAACGACGATTTTGAAAACCATGTCGTTGCTCAAATGCGACGGCAGAGAATCCGAATCGCTCGGACTATCGCCGGACTCGCTGTTCGTCAGTTTCATAAAAGTCAGGCACTCCTCGAGATTCTTGTAGGTTTGATGGCACAAATCGTAGACTTTGTTGACTTTCTTATCGAAATACCAGATGTCGATGAGCAGAAGAAACCTGGCAACGAACCGTTTGATTTTCTCGCTTCGATCGGGCTCGATGATGCAATCGGCATTCTTATCCTCCTCCGGCAGTTGCTCGATGAACTTGGAATTCTTCTCGAACAGGCCCAATAGATTGTTGCCGGCGCCTTCGAACGAATGCGGGCAGGCTAGACACCGCATGTAGTGATAAACAGCGTCCAAAAATTGATTTTGATTCATGGCCAACGTCCCCATCTGATTGTGAGGCATCCCGTAATCGGGCCTGTATGATATGGCTTGCAGGTAGTATCGGGTGGCTAATGTCGACTCCCAATTCGGGTATATTTCCAGCTTGTATCTGCTAAGATCGCCCAAATAAATCAAACATTGATGAACGGACTGGTTTGCCCAATCGATTGTCTCCGGTTTAATATCGCCTAAAATTAAATTCGTGATGTAAGTGTTTGTTTTAAACGTACCTTAATAGATGTGTTTATTGACTTATTATTCCTAGAATTACTAAGTTTTCTAGAGCAATATTGTTTTTGAAATTACTCATATGATAATTTACAATAAACGTTATCAGTTTATTTTCTCGAGGCTCACCTGTATCGACTCTATCGGATTGCATTATAGCGAAATCGACGTGGATTCGAATGTTCAAATTGAACTGGCATTGCAATTTGGATATCATGTGATTGTAGAATCCGATACCGGAGTTTATGTGAGCCGCAACGAAGCTGATTTCGTCCGGATGGTATTCTTTCTTCTTCAGTCTCTTCGCGGTGGATATGACATCGTAGTAGCCCTTGCGCCACAGCAGTTCCTCTCCCTTGCGGCCGTACAAACGGGGATCGGTGAATATCAGCCGTTCGCAGTATTCGCAGAATTTCTTCCTTTGTATTTGTAAATTTGGCGTGAAAAGATCTCCAACATTTCGGGCACAACTTCTCGCATCGTCTAAACGTTTAGCTTGTTCACTTACGGATCTGAAATAATGCATGTTTTCGATTAGAGTGCATTCTATAAATTGACTCCGTTAATAAGTAGAATTAAGTATAGTGGTAGTTAGATGTTTAAATTCCACATCTCACTATGCAGCGTAATACAAAAATGCCAAGGAAAGACTCGTTAGAGTAAAAAAAACTAGATGGATAATTGTGTTAAATTAGTGAGGTTAGATTCGCAGAAAAAAACGGATATTGTGCAAAATATTGTAAACCATCACCATATGTACGTCACAATTAACGCAAATACTCACCGATATAATTTTTTTGAGAGCTCCTGGCCCTGATTTTGGTTAATATCTGTTGAGGTGTAGCTTTTCTTCATTTCAACTCATGCTTTTATCCTATCCTGGTCAAGAATTCAACAGACTCTCTTCTGTTTTCGTTTCTTCCAAAAAACCGATTGCAGGAAAAATCATCGTTAGTTCATAATTAATTTCACAAATGTATTTTGACACCATCACAGTTTCTTATCAAATCGAATAAATTGTTCATGGTCAAATAAAAAATTCTAAATCACAAAATTTTCACTCACATCTGTCGGATAATTTTAGCACTCTTCGATTTCAAAATCAGACGCCGCGAACGGAGCGCCATCTGCGAGTCTGTGGAAGAGGTACAAAATTAAATGTCCCCAAACTGGATATTCGCAATGCAAAGGGAATTAAATGTTTGAAACGCTTTGTTCTGCTTAAACAAATAATTTTCATTGTTTAATTTGATTTAGAAACTGCGAATGGAAGTTATTACGAATAAATACGTATGATGACATTGACATTTGAATGACATAACAACTCAGACAAAATGAAGAAATCTATTTTTCAGCATTGACAGTTAACAATGACATTTACTGTCATCAAATGTGACATTTGGAGAGCATATTTAATTTAGAATTTGCAATTATTGAGTTGCATTAACACCCTAATATTATGTCAAAAACGGCATATAAACAGGATATGCCCCCTCCGGGGGGTTACCAATCAATCAATTACAAGAGGGTACCAGCCCGAACGTTTTTTGGAGGTATGCGTTTGAGCTAACCCTAATTATGTAATCAACAATAATTTTTGTTTTTAGGTTGGGCTATAATCGGAGGCTACATAGGCATGACCGCAGGAGCGTTCTATCTTTACTCCCTAAATTACAAAGCAGTGAAAAATAGGGAACTCGAAGTGCATTCAGCCAACTTAGCCTTATACCCAATGTTGTTAGCGGAACGAGACAGAGCTTACTTGAAACAAATACGGAAGAATCGAGATGAGGAAAATAAATTAATGGCCAATGTAGAAGGTTGGGAAACGGGTACTTGGATGGGAGAACCAATTTACAAAACTCAACCCAAAGATTGTTTCATCGAACCTAATTTTTACGATTATTACGTACACAGTTCATATAAGGATTTAAAGAAGAGAATGATAACCTTAAATTATTAAATATGTTTAATAGTAATTCAATAAATTTATGTAGCAAAATGTGTATTGAATAAGCTAGAACTGTAATATACCATACACATTTAAAGGGCTTGTGATTATTAGGTAATAAAAAATTATAATAAGAATATTTATGTTTGCCGTCACAAAATTTATTTCCATTTAAAGCGTGCAAATTGTTGCTTTGAAATGGCTATTATATTAAAGATTAGTATTTAACAGAACGTTATTAACTATTAAGTTATATTATTATGAATCCATCTGGCCTATGATGGTGAAATAAGACCATGAAGTTTTAATTATCTAAAAATTAACTTGATAAAATAATGTGAACAAAACCAAACTCATACAGGCTTACATTTATGAACACGTCAGTTGACAAATCAATTAAACCTCCAGCGCAAAATCTTATTATTCTTCGAGTGTTGAGCATAAATATGTAAACGTTCTGTTTGTATTCTTTAGAACAATCTTCCCAACTGCTATGATATGCCGATGTAGGTATGATATGACTCTGAAATACTTAACTTTGTTTCAATTTACCTTATTATGTAGTGAGTATTTACCTCAGCAATAACCTCATTTGTATAGTAACAAATTGGAAAAACTTGCATCAACATACAAAACATGTAAATACAGACAGATATGGCTTTGACTTTATTTTCAAACGATTCCTAAAAAACATAAATTGTACAGAGATAGGTGAAGATAGATTGTATAGGTACAGAGTACAGAAGAAAAGAATTTTAAATACCTAAAATTTTCAGTAATTTATATAACCCAAGTGCTATCGTACAAATCATACTAGTGAACTTACTGTTATTTTTATACTTACTCTTATTTCATACAAAGTGGCACATATGCATATTACACTAACCCCAAGTTGTCCCAAAATACTTATGGAAAACAATTTGTTTACTTCCCTTGCAAATCTGGAATTTAATTGTTTATACATTACAGGGTTTTAATTAATTGAGTACTGATAGTTCAGGATGTGAATATTTGGATGATCTCAAGAAGAAAAGTTTATATCTATATATGTCCTAAACCTCTTAGTTTTCGAGGTACAGCGTGTTACAGTTTTAGAAAAAAAATATAATTTTTTACTATTACCAGTGACGTCCACGTCCGAAATTACATTAAAATATCTGTAGTAAAATGAAAATTATGATAGATAAGTTAATTTTTTTCTAAAACTGTAAAACCCTGTACCTCGAAAACTAAGAGGTTTAGGACATATATAGATATAAACTTTTCTTCTTGAGATCATCCAAATATTCACATCCTGAAGTATCGGCACTCAATTAACACCTTGTATAATCCATACTAGAGATTTATCGAGTATTCACTTACTTGATTATGTATTGATGATGCACAATACACTCAATTAATTTCTGGTTCATGTGATTCCGAAGTTGCATCTCATAACTAGTATCCACGCTTTCCGCTCGTCCCTTTTTGACGTCCTCTTCGGCGAGTTTTTTTATGTTACACAAAGTATCGTTCAAAAAGTGCAGCTGCACTTTTACCACGATCACTAAACCTGCAGAAACGATAATTTTAGATGATCAATTGATACTTTAATCTTGTTACGAAATGTACTTGCTATTAACCAGTCAGTACTGAGACCTAAGGTTCCTCCTAAAATACTGCTAGCCGTTAGATAAATAGAAATTAAGGCGAAAACGATGGTTGTATCGATATTGAAAGGAAAGTACGCAGGTACTGGCAGGGAATGTTCATTTCCGCCGATAAAAGCGAGTATACACCACATGCATATGGTTATGAGCGTACTAACACACAACATTACTGTGATGTCGTTGCAGAATTTCACGTAGGATTTCAAGTAGTTTCTTTGATCATCGGATCTCGGTTGAAATTCCCTTCTATCCCCCTGGTCAATTAACTTCAGAAGAAGAGGCTGGTTCCTGTGGATGGTTATAAACTTAACAATCGCCATCAAATTTGTAACCGTTATGAAAAACGAATCCATTAACTTTCCCACATCGTTTCTCGAGTGGAACATGTTCGCTATTGCCGAAACAACTAAACCTGCAAACATGAATCCTAAAAATTAGATTTATTAATTCAGAAATTTTGATAATTTCGTCGTTTTTACCCATAAAAAATCCCACCCTTAGCATGTACACCAGCCTATCCCAAATTGTTTTGTATTCGGGATACATTACCCCGTAAAAATACAACACGTTCGAACTATTTTTCACGATATCTTTTAAACGAGTTTTTTCGGTGACCATCTTGAAGCAAATGGAAAAAATGATATGCACAAGGAGTTTGTAAAGTAAAAAAATCAGTGTACATTTGTCGTTCATATTGATTTGCCGTTTTCTATAGAAATGCAAATAATTTTGTATGAATTATTTAGTTTATAGGTCTCTTATTTTATTATAAAGGTAAAATAATTGAAATAAGTATGCATACAGTATGAATTAATCATTTTAAAAATTTGTCAAAAGCATATCGATATATGTACAATAAGGGTAGTTTCTTCTTCTCCCATTATGAAAAGCACGTGGAAAAAAATTGCACGCACAAGTTGTTTGTAAAATAAAATATTAAGTGTACCTTTGCCGTTTTCTATAGAAATATAAATAGTTTTGTATAAATTATTAGCTTTATGCGTCTCTTATTTTATTTTAAGACCAGAATAATTGAAATATGTAGACATACAAAATGAATAAATAATTTTGCAAGGACATCAAGAAGATATAGATTACCCATTAGAGTAGATATTCAATGAAAGTGTAAGAAATGAAGAATCTGCAATAAAAGTAAAAATCAAAATTTACTCGAGTATTAGTGCTTTATTTTCCAAAGAACAAGTGTTGTGCAGTAATTAATTCCAAAGTTCGTGGGTAATAATAAATTTTTCCAGCAGTTTATTTGTCCACCTGATTTATAACGGCCCAATACGACCAAGAAGATTTTATAATCTGAAAAGAATACGAAACTATAAAGCTTCGAGTCCGTTTGATCCAGTGATGGGAAATTAATAATTTTTACCTTCATGAACATTTGCAATGATATTTCAACGAAATTTCCGGCATACAGTCTGAGAATCTTCTGAGTTCTTGTCATAAACGTCAAGAGATTCTTTTTGAACTCTACTGAACAGTCCACCCAGTCGCAAGTGTACGCAGAAGTTGTCAATCTGCTGCTCTATAATAGAAAATTGTGAATTTTTTGTATCATTCAAGAGTTATTTTCAGTACCCCTTCGTTGATTTCGTTGGCAAAATAGCAAACCGGGAAAATTTCCCCTAATATGCAAAATAAGTATGCGCACATAGAGAACGTTTTCACTTGACTTGTAATCGATCCCTGAAAAATCCAAAATTTCGCAAAAATCCAAAACATTCAGTTTTAACTTACGGTTGAAATTTCGTATAAAGTCGAGCTTATAATTACTATACTGAGAAATAATTGCAGAAATATAGTAACTGAAAATAGGTCGTTGGTAGTTTTCGAAAACCTAAAACCCAATACCAATTAAAACCCTTTTTTATCAACAACTTTTCGAATTACTCTGTAATGCATTGATAGTGCTCGATACACCCTATCAACTTTTTATTCATGAGATTTTGGAATTCGGGGCTCCTTCGGTCAATTCTCATACGCTTCTCCATGAACTCCTCCTCGCAGAAGCGCTCTAAATTTTCTATAGTGTCGTTAAGTATATTAAATTGTGCACTAATAACAATGACGAAAGCTGCAAATATATCGAAATAAACACAAAATGCGCCTCTTTGGGAAGATTATTTAGCTTACATATCATCAGACAATCGGCGCTCAAGTTAGAAAATCCGCCTATCAGCGTGGCAATTGACTCGTAAATGAAAGTAATAACGAAAACAGGCGTGGATGTCAATTCGAAGGGAATGTAAGAAGGAACAGGTAAGGAGACTTCGTCTCCGATAACAGCGGATATCACCCAAAACAGAACGGTAACGAAACAACCGGAATACACAATGAGTGCTATCACATTTGCCGCTTTTATGTTGGATTCCAGTATGTTCTTCTGGTGTTGGGATTTGGGCCGGAATTCCCGCTTGTCGATTTGCGCCAAGAGTTTCATGATTTTCCGCTCGTTTCGAACTATGGATATGAATTTTACGATCGATACCAAGTTGGTGACGGTTAGAAACAGCGAATCCATCAGCTTCTCCAAGTCGTTCAATGAATGGAGTAATTTCAGTATTTCTGATAGCACCATTCCTCCAAACAAGAATCCTGCGGGTTTATTTTTTCTATTACAAATCCAATACTTACTGCGAACTTACCCATTATAGTTGATACTCTAATTACGTACTTGAGTACTACCCAGGCAGAGTTGAATTTCGGGTGCAAGATGCCGAAAAATAACAGAAAATTAACACTAACATTAGTGATGTTACTGAAACGAAAATTGTGAAAATCCATTTAGGGACACAAATACAATGGTGATAGGAGCAGGTTTCTTCCAGCGAAAGTGAACTTATTATTAAAAACATGTCTACAAGTCTTTATACTTTTTGATTGTAGATAATATCAGGATAGGAGTAATAATTGGTTAAAGAATTCAAGATTAGGAAAGAGTAAAAATTTAAAATCAAAGTCCATATCTGTATTTGTGGTTCTACTAAAATTTACCTTCGAAAGGTTTTTATTCTAATAAACCATAATAAGGCTATTATTATAATTACACAGAAAATTGAAGTAGGAATAACACTATTTAATTGAAATATTTATTTCCAATGAGCCTATTATTTCCCATTATCAAGTCCATCTAGATCTAGAAGGTAAATAAAAAAGTATTTAAAACGTGACTTTATTGTTTAAACAACGGAATACATCCAAAAATGTTATAATCATAAAACTACTAGAATGAATACATACATATATTGCGGTGAATTTACAGGGGTCCAGATCGCGAAAATAAACGATATAATAAATTACTATTTACAAATATTAACCCATTATAATTAAATATACTATACGAGAGGATGGCAGTTTGCGCGAGTTACTACGAGCGCTTCACGTAATCGCTTTCAATTTAACTGGAATTCTCAACAGTAACTCGCCAAACGATCTTCCTCATCTCATCAAAGATTCACGAACGATCGGATCTGGTCCAACAGGCGCGAGCCTGTGATTGTAATCGGCGGACAAGCCGAAGACAATCGCCTGCGTAAAGCCACAGTTTCATTTTGTTTTTCACGACAGGGGATCGATGGCCCAACAGCGCGTCGACGCTCGGTCCTAATAAGTCGCTGTGACCTGATTGATCACCTGTGTTCGCTGTACATTACGATCCGGCACCGATTACAGTGAACAATGATTACAGCACAGCGGTATTTTAGCAATGTGCGATTCGCGAACGGCGATCGTAATATAGAGAAATACAGGGGGCTTCTTCAATCCAACAGCATCGGTGCTGTGACTGACGTCGCCTGTCCGTCTACGAAACCCTTTTTTTTTTCAATCCAAATGGGGTGCGCCTTCAAGCTAAAATAATCTATTTTCGAATCGTATTTTTTGCGAGGGATTATTTTCGATTGAAAGGCACCGCTTTTCACTTGGTCGAATTGGTAAATTTTCATATAAACAATAAACTGTGTGATATGAAAACTTAAGTTCCCGTTCACCATTAGTTAAAAAAAAATTGGCGTACCTTTCCGACATGTCACAATTTTCAATGCAGACTTCACAAACGCTACTACGTAGAATAATAATGTATTTTTTTAGATATCTAACTAATTTAGATTGACTAAGACCTACCTTTTCAGATTTACAAAGCTCTTTCCGATTATTTTATATATGATTTTTCTTACAAATTTAATTCTTTTATTATTATATTATTGGTGTAAATTGGATTCAACTTTATTTAATGAATCAATATGTCTTATTCCAAATAATGCAGCAGAGTAAAGATAAAAGTTTTTTGAATTAGTAATCAGAAATTCGTTGAATACAATTTACATTTTGAAAAGGTCAGACGTCACGTTATGTTATAATTTTCAACTTCAAATATTTTAAACTTTTTTAACTATCAAACAAATTTGAAAAAACATACAGACGCTTCGACCCAAATCGTTTCAAACCAATTTTTTAAATCACCTTTCGAGATATCTCAAATAATTATCAAACAACTACCAAAATATATTAAAATAGACACCGTAGTAACTAATAAACAGATCTGATAAATTCAAGTTAGAAACGCCTGTAAAAGTCCAATACACGTGGAAATTATTTACAATCATCGTTCAAAATTCACTAGATATTAGCTCGTTATTTGGAAAAAAATTAAACAACAATCATTGTATTGCACACTATAAGAAACATCGTTTAACGATAACGACTGTGTAAACAAAATGGCATTTATGTACAATTAGCTAATACAGGGCGATACGAATCAGTTATACACACTACCAAACAAAAAAAAACTTAGATTTTTCCAAAATAAGTACAATCCAATAATGCCAATAACCCGAAATAAATCCATTTTTGTTTGGGGTAGATTATGCAAAATGCCCATAAATCGTAGATGTCAAAAATGATTTCAATTTGAACGTGCAATATTATTTAACGAAGCTTTTTTTTAACATCTAAAATATACGATTCGATACTAAAACGAATCGCCTTGTATATTTGCGAAAAGATCCGTGGAATTTCATTGGACAGATTGCCGGTGACCTTTCAAAAGTTGCATTTACAAGAAAATATGGCTATACTTCTTACCTTGCATGATCTTTTATAAATAAGCAAAAAAATAAAATAAAATGTACGAACCTGTGCATCGGAACAAAGAAATTTAACGTGAGTAAAATTGATTAGTAATTACAACTGCGATTTACTTAAAATATTTACAACGTGATAGATTAAAACGTTAAATTCCTTCGACCAAAATTCTATCTGCAGAACAGATTCCTTCGACAATCTTGTTTATTCTATAATAATTAAGTAATAAATGAAAACAGACCTTTCGATTGTTTATGCTAGGTAAATCCAAATGTCGAAAAAAATAAAAATAAAAAATAAAAATTTACATACCGTTCGGGCAGGTATTTTTGTATTCAGATACAATTTAACTTTGTACTTTTTCAAAAACCTGTCGAAAATAAAAAATTATAAATACATGTCCAAAACGTGAGAATTAACGAAAATACGCATGCAAGTTATTAAAACAGAAAAAAAACAATATTTTTTTTGATTCTTATGTTAAATGTTGGACTTAATTTAAAACTTGCGGATGGTAAACGAGGTATAACGGGGATCATCTAAAACGCGGCTGCATCAACACGGGGCCCGTGGGGAACATCGGCGCTCCGTACATCATACCCGGGGGCATTCCGATTACACCTAATAACAAAAAAAAACAATATTTTATCGAAACTTCAAAATCGCAACGGGCACGGTCAATACATTGAGTTTGGCATATTGTCATTTTCTTACAAACTTTTTTATCCAATTCCAATTCGACATTAAATAAATTTAGAGGGCACAAAACTAAAAATATGTATAATATACTCACCTGGCCGTCGAAAACAAAAAACGAAAAATAATAAATAAATACATCTAATATTTATTAAGCCTAGCATCAGACACACAGCTAAAGAAAACTACATTACCACACATTAGAAAAGTGTTGTTTTAATTAAACTTGATAAACTAACAGATATGTTTTATTGCTCTCTAAAAGTTCAAAGTAATGAATTTGTATTGTACACGGCAATCAGAAAACGAAACGTTAATAATTTTAATTGCTCCCAACATTAGATTATAATTAAAATTATTCCAGCGGTAATATGCGAGTGTACAACACAAACTGATCTAAGAGAGAACAAACAATTAACCATTCGCAGTCTGAGCAATAGCAAAAATGACAATATCCAAAATCTACAAAATAAACTGATAGGTAGTCGTGATTAGTGATTTAAAAAATATAAATATACGATAAAAATGTATAAATAGATTACTCAGAATGATGAAATGCAATAAATTCAACCAAATGACAGTAAACAAACCAATCACTGCCAAAAAACTAAGCAAGTGACAAATATCTGATGCAGGCATGCCAACACATAAGTGCGTGAGATGTACCTGGGCGGATGCTGAAATCGGCCCCCGAATCATTTTGTCTTCGAATTAAACGCACTGGTGTCGGTTGTTATCATTGTTAATTTCACTTTAATAACAAATACGTATTATTTATCGACCATTTAAACATTTAACCAGCACAACTCTTACCATTAGAATAAGAATTGTTAAACTACAAGTAAAACAATCGCAAAGAGGAACCAACCGCCAAACATTTACCGGTATTTCAAACGCATGTTAAGGTCTCTTATTTGACAAAAAAATTCATTCAAATAAAAATAGTAATTTTCCTTCTACAAAAGATTAACAATGAATGCAGGTTATTGGAAACAATAAAGGATACGTATAAGATTTAAAAAAATTCAACGGATCGATGATAATTCTCTTGATCGATGGAAATCGGATGGACTGAAATTTGCACAGGAGTTTATGTCGTGTAATATGAAGAATAAAGCGACATCTAGTGATGGCATTTTTAAGTACATATATTTGTGATTAAAGAGGCAATCATGAATAAATGCCACCTTTATCTACACTTGTTCATCTTCACTTATCATATGATAAATATCACATTCATTCACAAAATTATGCCCGGTTTCGTTTAGAATACAACATCGATTTCAGTAAATTTCCTACTCATGAAAAATGAATTAGAAACATGTTAGAAATCACACCACGCATAGTTATTTCTTGTAAATAGTTAACAAAACGGTCTAATACATGCATATACAAACGTATATTAAAATAAAACCGTTATTTACAAACTCGTTAGTTTTACAATGCCTAGTAATAAAGAAAAACCGCACGCACACACTCTAATCCTAATGTATTGTACTAAAATGAAAATGTGACTAGTCGAATCCTGTCATAAAATCCCACAGAATGGTTTTAAATAATTCTGGAACTACAAAAGTAAATAAGAATGGACAAAATTGAAAAAAAAAACAATAAAAAAATACACGTGTCAAACAGAAACAAGAAAAAAAACACTAAAAACACTGAGAAAATGAAGTATCTACAAATTGTTAGGTTTTAATAAAAAAAACCGAAAACACACTCCAGTCCTGGAAAACACAAAGGAATTTTCATGTACAATGGATGTATTTTGTATGTTATGGGACTACGTTAGAAATAGTTTTCAGCTAAAATAGTAATACACAAAAAATTATAACTTTACAACCCTACAATAAAAATAAACGCCTATTATTAAACGAATAAATAAAAATTCCTCATCGAGTTAGAAGGGGGTTATTAACAAATAAAAAGTGTTACGAAAATGTCATCAAAATTGTTTCAACACACCTTTATTAGAAAACAGAAAGTAAAAAGGCCATTATGAAGCGGAAATATAAAAATATTAGTTGCTATACAGACACCCACTCAATAAAATTTTGCTGCAAATATGTGTTCACCAAATAAGTATTGTTTCTGAAGTAATACATCACAAAACGCATTCAAAATTGTTGAATAATTATCGGAAAATTGTGGATTTTATTTGGAAAACACTGCACAACTTCTAAATCTAACAAGTGTATTAAATTTTCTGCAGCACCGACCAACGAATACGTAAAAAAATGTACTACAGAAAACTTAAATTAAAATTCATAAAAAAAATAAATTTTTCAGAAACTATTTACTTCTATTTCCTGTAAATATGATAATAACAATTTTACCATCAGTCACCGTATCAGTTCGAAATAAATTTATGCCTCTTACGTTTCATTAAAACGTATAACTTATTAAACTACACAGAGGCCCAATAAAAAAATATCAACGAATACTGCATACAATATAAAACTACCAAACTACCTAGTTTCTTTTCTGTTTAGAACATTGTACCTATAATACGAGTATGTTCGTTTAAATATATTAATCTAAACAAAAAATAAATCGGAACAAGTGAAATTAAACGTAAATACATAAAGGCGAAACGGTGAATGGGAATGTAATGACATAAAAAACACCCTAAAGTACAAAATATGATTCGCAACGATACGAAGTGTGTTCTTGCAGGCAGTACTTAACGCAAATTAAATAAAATGAAAATTCAGTTCTGATATGTGACAAAATTTAATCGACTTCGGTATAATCTCAATCCCGATTCCATTTAGAAAAACGATAATGTGCGCAAGAAGCAGATTCTCCAAAAATTTTGTAAACGTAAGTATCGAGAGCCACAATGCTGGGCAGCACCCGCCAAATGATATATCGATGAGAAACGAGTTAATTGTAATACGATGGTTAATCAAGTTATGATACTGCTTTACAATATAGCTCTAGTTATCTTATAAACACGAATACACATTTCGTAATAGTGTAACCAGTGAAGGCTTTCCTAATAATTGACCAAGCACACGATGTTTCACAAATAATACAAAAGTCTACCTGCACAGAACTTAATCGGATAACAATTCGAACGTCCAAACTTTTGGTAAACAGTCTGTGGTATCTTCAGAGTGTGAATGTTAAGATTAATCCTTTACCTACCTGGGGGCATAGATATGGGCGGCGGTCTCATTAGCGGCCCTCCGATTAGGGTGGGCGGTCCGGACATCATGGGGGGCCGCATTGGAGCCATAATGGGTCCGCCCATAGTCATGGTCATCGGCGGACCGGTCACCCGCACCGGAAACCTCTGCATCATAGCCGCATGGTGATTCATCGCTTCGACTTGTTTCTGTTGCGCGGCGGCTTGTTGGGCTGCCGAAACTGCCATTGCCAACTAACAATAGAAATATTAACAAAAATATTATAAAATATTGTAATAATTTACCTCGGAAGCAGCGGCGCTAGAGCTAGCACCGCCGTCGTCCGGTTTCGAAGGAATGTTTCTGGAATATTTCGGATTCCTGGCCCTGATTTCTTCCAATGAAGTGTCCTCGGACGGGTGTATTATTTTACTCGTAGCACTGGACGTGGCTATCGTCGACACTTTGCTACCCTCGCCGTTACTACCCAACGAGAGGTTCGTTGTAGGCGGTGCGCTTATCGTTGCAGCTAAACAAATTGTAATTTAATAAATCATTGCAATTAGTTGGGGAAGTTCTGTAAATACCTGATGATATAGGTTTGAAATCGGTACCGACTACTGGTGTTCCTGGACCACCAGTTGATGAGGTAGGTATAGCACTCGGAAAAAGTGGTTTAGGTGGACCGGCTTGGCCCTGCATCATTTGCTGCATGTGAGCGTTCATCATTTGCTGCATACTGAAAAGTACACAAAATTACACCGATTGCATAAATAGAAATTTATTAATTAATTAATTAATGATTCTATGCAAGTTGTAAATTTGTATCACGGTTACTTATTTAATTACTTACTTCTTTTTAAGACTAATTATATACATTAATATTAGTAAAATTTATTTTTAAGGACCTACCTGTAGGAAGTAAAACGATTGTTGATTTTATCAAAAGTCGTTTTGAAGGAATGTTACAATTCAAGATAACAAAAGTGTGATACTTCTAAATATATTACAAAAATAAATGGGTACTTACGAGCTCTAAATTATGTGTAAATGAGTATAATGAAGCTGTTTTGTCATTTTATATTACTATAAATAATAAAACAATTAAACAAAAGTAAAATGTAAAAAAAACTCCAAGCACGCCTTAAAAATTTTTTGCAGGTAAAATTTTCAATTTACTCACATTAAAATGTTATGAAGTTAGTTTAACAATACTGTAGTATCTAGTAAATTGAAAAATTCTTTAAAATATAACTCGCACCTGCATCAAGTAAATTTTTTTATTAAGCAATTGTGCTGTTACTCGCTATTAATTTTAATAGTACGCAATTATAAAAAAAATGAATAATTATTTGCCAAATGTTCTAATTGTCCATGATTTATTCAATAATAAACAATTGCTTAGTTATGTACACTCGGCCATACTTAAAATACACATAAATCCGCCATATGCTGTGCGACCTACTTTCAGTGAATGCGTAAAAATACACTTACCCAGGAGGATGCATAAAATGTGGTCCCATAGGTCCCATTTGCATCATCGGACCCATGGCCATACCTGGAGGCATTCCCGGAGGCGGCATCATTCCGGCGACCATATTAGGCATACCCTGCATCATGCCAGGCGCGTTGCCCAACAGTCCTTCTGGTTTGGCTTTTTTGGTTGTTGGTTCATCGTCGTCCGATCCAGAATCATTACTCGGCCTGCTTCCTTGTTTTTGTCTTTCGTGTTCTCTTAAATCGGCCCCTGGTATTCCTGGTAGGTAAACAAAAAACATTTTTAAAGGAACGAACGAAAAGTTTAGAGAGAACGTAGCGCTATAACTAGCAGGTATGCTACTCAGATATATTTTTGGAATGCTAAAAATAGGTTTTACCTTCCATCCCGTATATTTCAATATCAACATTAGAACGATTTGGCAATGAATTAGGAACCTTATCTATCGTTTCCTTGTGAACCTGCATACAGTGTATGGAGAGGCCAGGGCCCGTGTATAGCTTCTTGTGGCATATGTGACATTTAAAATGTTTGGCTTTCTGATGTTGTATTAAAATCTTCTCGTCCTCGAACTCCCTATTGCAATACCTAAATAACGTTAAGGAATGATCTAAAAATATATCGATTGTTCCATATATACGGTAATAAAAACTGTACAGGATTGGTAACAGAAATAATCGTTATAAAGGATACCAGCACCAAGGTTTTGACAACTTCTTCTTCTTACGACCCATTTTTATATAATATCACGCTTTATAGATAGTAACACACAATCACCGAAAATTATTTGGCATTTACGGATTAATTAGTTTTATTTAAACAAAATGGGGTAATATAAATTAATTTACAGTTTATCAGACTCTTTAATACTTAACAAAAGATGGCGGACAGATGAAACATGCAATAAAAAAGTGAAGTATCTAAAAATCAGGTAACCAACACAACAAATTTGAAAACGTTAAATACTAAATCGATTGAAGGAACTGAAGATACAAATATGCGGTGTTGCCATTTACGTTTTTACCTTCAAAAATGTATACATAACGATAATAGTAGTATTATGTATTAATTCATATGTAATATTTAGATTTAAATATGATTCTACCTTTATTTCATCCAAATTATTCAATCCATTAAAAAACATTAGTTCATGATTTAAAAAATGCAGTGCTGCCAACTAAAATTTAGAAAAACTAAAGTACATTTCAGTGATAAATATAACTGTTATCAAGTTAACAAGATCAGCTATTTACTTTCTTTTGATTACTGCGTGTAATAAATAGTAAATAATCCAATAAATTAAATATCTCTTTATATTTGGGTGGGGATTTAAAATACAATCAATGGGCGGGGCTAATAATTGGAGCGAACGCACTTTTTAAATTTCAAACTCGTTTTGTGAACCCAACAAATTATATTTAGCCCTTTATTTACCGTCAACGATCGACTGGTTAATTAAACTAATAATTAAATCTATAATCGTTAATATTAAGAGCGAATTTAAAAACTATTCTTTGTTATATTTACTGCGCGCGCGCAATAAGTTCAATGCGCCATGTTGATTTCTACTGTTTATTGTTTGCGGCGCCCCGCACCCGTTGTGAACTTAAAACTCGAAAATTTCAAAAAAACATAAAATCACGCCGTTTACGAACCCACCAATTCGTCCGGTCTCACTTGCGGCGGTGATTCGCGTTATCCGTTCGAATCGAACCGCTCCCAATCGTTCGTATTTCCCCATAAAAATGTCGAAGATCTTTACAATGGCTACCTCCGCGTCCCCCCGAAAGACTTCGAATTGACAGTGGAAAATGTTCACGTGATTTTTAAACACTCGACTTGAAAATAAACAATTCTGTTTATGTTGTTCTCGGTTGAATTTTCGATTTTCTTTTCATAGTAATGAATGCTGATAATCAAAATGTTTTGTCCACAGTGCACGGCACCTCGAATTCGGAGGTAAGTATTCCGTTTAAATTGCTGTAAATTGTTAATTACAAGCAGGAGATTTGCGTTTTACTCGGAATTTATCGCTGTTATTAATTTCTCATTGAAAGAATCACTTTTTACGTCGTTAATTATATTAGTATTACTTGCGCAGTTACTGGTTTAATTCATGATTTACTTTTATGAATTAAAGTTGACAGGAAAATAAAAACATAAACAATCGTAGTAACCCATATTGTAAGAAACTGTTTTTTATAGACCACTTTCCATAGCCAACTTGAATATATTAAATTTATTTTTTATTCATTATTCATTATTAATTAATCACTTTATGAGTTTTTTATTACGCGTCTGCAAGTCGTTATAATTTATTATATTTTTTAAAGCAGGGTTCATCGCAAAGGAGTCCTGCTACTACCTCTGTCCCTACAGACTTGAGAGTCAATACGACAGCCCTTAATGCTGTTGCTTTAAGTAATGTGGCCAAATACTGGGTGTTGACTAATTTATTGCCAGGACCAATACCTCAAGTGTCTGTGTATGGTTTGCCCGGAACGAGCAGGGAATCGCAGGGAAAAATATCGCAAGTACGTATTATTTATTTTAGCAGTCAATGAATTTGATTGAGGGATATATAATTTGGGTATTTTTAACTTAATTTACTATATTTTTAAGAAATGTATCGAGGCAATTCAAAACTGGCGTACGATCAATTTTCCTTGGCAACTGCAATTTTTGGTTCGTTAAGGGTTAATTAGCAAATTTACTGAATTAGATTGAAACATATTCATTTGCATTACAAATTTTTGGCAAATGTTCCATCAATCATCCTAAGTTTAGAGAAATAAAACAAACAACCAATCTTACTTGTACTAGATAACATTTATCTAATGTAATTTTTAATTTGTCTCAATACTTTTAGGATACTGTACTCAGCCAACACAGTTTTCTTCAACCCGATCCGCTTCTCATACAGCAACACAGCCAAATTCCGGTCAGTATAGCAACATCACAAGGAAACTTGGGGCTAACTTCAAGCGGAGTTCACATAGACAATGCTCATAATATTTCCGGCCATTCCAACGAAAATTTATCTTCACAGAACCCTAACCATCTCTCTAGAGATATGAGAGTAAGTTGTCATTTTCCATCAATTATAATCTCTTATTTGATTAATGTCACTAAAGGTGCCTCACTCCCATCATCAAAATCAATCCCAACAACAACCACAACAACAACAACAACAACAACAGCAGCAGCAACAACAACAACAACAACAGCAGCAGCAACACCATCAGCAGAATCAACAAAATATGGTTCAGGTCCAAGTGCAGGACAATTTAGTATCGGTAATAGAAGACAACAAGGATCAAAAGGACATAATTTCCGCTCAATTGCAAGCTGCTCAGTTGCAAATCGCCGAGAACCACATAAACCAGCAGAGTTTGAGCGTGCAACAGCTGCAGCACCTTCAAGTCCAGCAGGTCTTGGAAAACGTGGTATGCATCTTAATAATTAAACTAACTATCAAATATAACATCGGATTTCTTGCAGGTGAGACTGGAGAATTCGGTGGAAAACAACCAGAATCAGTCGAACAACCAGGATCACCAGGATTCCCTTACCGAAACTATTCAAATAGTTAAAGATGAAAAAGCCTTTACCAACTGCAAGTTAGTGTCAGGTGCCCAATTCGGGCTGCAGGATCTCAAAGGAAACTTGATGGACGTGCGAACTGCCGATGGGAGTATAGTTAAAATACAGACCAACATGCAGGAACAAGAAATCGTAAAGACTCTCGGAGTAGATATCGTCAATAACATGTATAAAGTGAACGTCGACGATTTAAATCAACTGTTGGCTTATCATGAGATATTTGGAAAGCTGCAGGGTAGTCAAAGTAATTACCAAACAAAAAAAACAGCGTGAATATCGTAATGATGAATGTATTGTTTAGGTACCGACTTATCGACGAGCAGTCCAACAGTTAGCCAAAACTCCAACAACCTGAACATAACGAATTCCAACATAATCATCGCCAAAGACGAACAAGAACCATCCACCAGCAACATAAACAACGACAACAATCTACCTACGGTCGTCGCGACGCACGGCTGCGATCTATGCGGGAAAATGTTCCAGTTCCGTTACCAGTTGATCGTGCACCGACGTTACCACACGGAGAGGAAACCGTTCACCTGCCAGGTGTGCGGCAGGGCCTTCATCAACGCGCAGGAATTGACGAGGCACGGCAAGTGCCATCTCGGCGGCAGCATGTTCACGTGCGCCGTTTGTTTTCACGTGTTCGCCAACGACGCCTCGCTGGAGAGGCACATGAAGCGCCATTCGACGGACAAACCGTACGCTTGCAGCATCTGCTCGAAAACGTTCGCCAGGAAAGAGCATTTGGACAATCACACGCGTTGCCATACCGGCGAAACGCCTTATAGGTATAACATTTTTATCGCTAAAAATGTGAATATTTGGATGATTTTAAAAAGAGAAGTTTGTATCAATGTATGTCCTAGACCTCTTAGTTTTCGAGCTACCAGGGTGTTGCATTTTTAGAAAAAAACTTCTATCATAATTTTCTTATTACTCCAGATATTTTTATGGGAAAAAATTGTTTTGGTTTTTATTTTTTTACGCGAAAATACTTGAAAATCGAAGTATACTTACTGCGAAATATATCGAAAATAGTGCGTCGTAAGTCTTCTGACCGAATTTGCTACAAAATAAATGAGGCTTTTTAATTTTGGTTTTTAGAAAAAGCAGTGGCTTACCATTTTTTCAACCCTATTCAGTTCAACCTCCGTATGGAATTACTGCTGAAAATTAAAAAAAATATGCGTCAAAAAATGCTCCTTAATAATTAATAAGTGTGTACAAAAGTCATTAAAATATCTGGAGTAATAAGAAAAGTATGATATAAAAGCTATTTCTAAAATTTTAACACCCTGTAGTTCGAAAAGTAAGAGGTTTTGAACATATATTGATATAAACTTTTCTTCTTAAAATCATCCAAATATTCACATCCTGAAGTATCGGGACCCAATTAATTAACACCCTGTATATGAGTTTCTAATGAGTTTGTTTTAAATAGATGTCAGTATTGTACCAAGACTTTTACGAGAAAGGAACACATGGTGAACCACGTGAGAAAGCATACCGGGGAGACTCCGCATCGGTGCGAAATCTGCAAGAAATCGTTTACTAGAAAGGAGCACTTCATGAATCACGTCATGTGGCATACGGGGGAAACCCCGCATCATTGCACTATATGCGGTAAAAAGTACACTCGGAAGGAACATTTGGCCAATCATATGAGAAGTCACACCAACGACACGCCTTTTAGGTAATATCAATTGCATACTAAGAATCCCGGTCGTATAATAAGGATAGGTCGAGAAAATATCCTGTTCAAAATGTGTTGCAGATGATGTGACTCTCGAAAGAGGGCGCTAGTATCGGATAGTGTTGTTTAACCAAATATTATTTACATCGGATAAGTAGTTTCTTATATACAGATAGTTTTAACTCGTCGTGGGACACCCTGTATAGGCCCTGTATCCACGTCTGATAAAGCTCGAATAGCCCAACTAACACGAACGTTTCCTTTTAGATGCGAAATATGCGGTAAATCGTTCACCAGAAAAGAACACTTTACGAATCACATAATGTGGCATACCGGCGAAACGCCCCATCGATGCGACTTTTGCTCAAAGACCTTTACGAGAAAAGAGCATCTTTTAAACCACGTGAGGCAGCACACGGGCGAATCGCCGCACCGTTGCGGCTTCTGCGCCAAATCCTTCACCAGGAAAGAGCATTTGATCAATCACGTCAGGCAACACACAGGTAAAAATTATTATCTCCTAATGTAGTTTGGATAAAGTTTATAGAAATAATTGTTGCAGGAGAAACGCCGTTTAGGTGTAATTTCTGTCCGAAAGCATTCACTCGAAAGGATCACTTGGTGAACCACGTCAGGCAACACACCGGAGAATCTCCTCACAAATGCACGTTTTGCACCAAATCCTTTACGAGAAAGGAACATTTGAACAATCACGTGCGACAGCACACAGGCGAATCCCCGCACAGGTGTCATTTTTGCTCGAAATCTTTCACGAGAAAGGAACATCTCACGAACCACGTTCGGATCCACACGGGTAATATTCGAGTTCCTACAATCGATATTTTCGTTACGAATAATTTTCAACAGGCGAATCTCCGCACCGCTGCGAATTCTGCCAGAAAACGTTCACCCGCAAGGAGCATCTGACCAACCACCTGAGGCAGCACACCGGCGAAACTCCGCATTGTTGCAACATTTGCTCCAAACCGTTCACCAGAAAAGAGCATTTGGTGAATCACATGCGATCGCACACCGGCGAACGGCCCTTCGCTTGCAACGAGTGCGGCAAATCGTTTCCGCTCAAAGGGAATCTGTTGTTCCACCAGCGGTCGCACAACAAAGGCGTCGGCGCCGAAAGGCCGTTCAGGTAAAGTCCAATAATATCTGATAACTCGCTGTACGCTTGGAAGGGGCTCTGCCCCTCCACTCACGGCTATATAATCTATGGAATGAAACACAAGGTATGATCTTTTTTCCATCTCCGTTTCACCTATGATTAATGTCAAATGACGTCATGATTGATTCCTGATGGAATTGATTTATGTGAATATAGGAACAAATTGCTGGATAGTTGGAAATTTTGACGTTGACGTTGACATTGACAATTTGAATTTTTAAATGTGAGGGAAATTATTAAAAATGGAGTTTTATTTGATTGCAAAAAATATGTTATATTCATCTGATTCATCATCAGAACCTGAAAGTGAAGAGTCCTCAAATAACAGTGGCAGTGATGAGTTATTGGAACTATTTTTAAAACAAAGAAATCAATAAAACTCATGCAATAACAGAGTATGTGATTCATTCGAGTACATCGGTTTGTTTCGCAGGTGCGATCTCTGCGAGAAGGACTTCATGTGCAAGGGCCACCTGGTGTCGCACAGGCGGTCGCACAACAACGACAGGCCGCACGTTTGCTCCGATTGCGGCAAAGCTTTCGTGGAAAAGGGAAATTTACTGCGCCACTTGAAGAAGCACAACACCGACAACGCCGCCGCCCCGTTGACGGCGCAAGGTGAGACTATCGGCGATTTTTAACGTAACTTAACTAACGTACTGTCCGCTAGGTGGCGCTTCGGCGCAGAATCAACAAGCCGCCGCGACGGCTAACATTCAAATTCCTCAGGTGCACGTCAGCCAAGGGCAGCAGCTCCAGCAGAACGCGGCTAATAGTTTGGTTCAAACGCCCCATTTGCAGATGCATCCGCCCAACAGCCATTCGGTCGTGCCAACTGCTAATACAAACGTGCTGACTTATTAGGCCCTATAACCTGGGTCCGTTAACAGCAGACAGTAGATATTGAATATGTCACGTTTACCTAGCTTACTCGAATACTAATTGGTCTAGGTTAACGTGAAACAATTACCAATCATTCTTTATAAATTGCAGATGAATCGTAATATTAATTTAGTGGGCTATTTTTTTGTATATATTATTTTTTTTAATATCTAATCTGTTAACGAACTCAGGTTTGAACTGCCATATTGTGTGATATATGTAGATATTGTTAAAAGAGTAATTTTAATTATGGATCAGTATTTCGAAAGTTTTATTGAGAGCAAACGGTGACATACGCGCGAACGTTAGGTATGTCGCTATAGTTAAATCCTAGTGAGGATAAATTAAAAATAACTAATTAGTTGCGTAATTTAAAAGCGATATGTAATGTAGGAATAACGAATTAGCCGGAATTAATTGAATTGAAATGTCGAATTTTATTTATTTTTTTAACGGTTTTTTTAAATGAATACTTTATTTTTTTTTAGCATATATGTCGCTCTCTAATTTTGATATTGAATCTACTTAGTTTGTGCAATATGAAATTATTTCATTCTTATTCATATTTTATTTCGATGGCGAATAAAAACCAAGAGGGAACAATTTGATTAAAGTATTTTTGATTCATATCGTATGGATGTTACGAATCGTTGTATATTTTGTAATTTTCGAATTTAGCTTTAAACGAATTGTAAAAAGTCTTTTTATGGCGATTACTACATAGAAACCGTTTGTAGAATTAGATCAAGAAATATTTTTTAAGTCGAAAAATGCATATTTTTAATTTATAGATTATGTACAGGAGAATTAAATCATTTTAATGACTCTGGCTTATTTATTCTATTCCCGATAGTGTAATTTATTTGCTAATTTAAATGACAATTTTTGAATAAATTTCGTATCAAATTCACCCTGTATTTAAGGATTAAACTTTGTAGTACCCGAAATATAAGAAGAGAAGTTTGAGGGGGAAGAAACACATCGATGAAACATGAAAACAATCAAATTTACAGCAAAAACATACTTCTTATTTACTATTCATTCCTTGGAAATGTTAAAAATATTCCTAAAAAAGCTCAGGATCTCTGAACAAAACTTTTTGGAGTTTTGAAATGTTCACCGAACGAACATCTTTCTCCATTTGGCCCTTACTTCACACTTGATTCATAAATCAAAAAGGTAATAATTATAGTTTACGGTTTCGAAAGTTGCATTTAAACCATGCAAGAAAATATAACCAAACAGCACAACGGCCGGTTGGTTATAAACTCCGACCAAAATTGGCCGAATAACGGCACCAGATACACGAGTAATTAATTTTAATTCGGGCTAAAGCAAATCTAATTAAGCTATCCGATGTTACAGCTACCGGTTGAGTTGGCAAAATGCATATCTTCGCATTTAATTCGATTTGCACATCACATGAACCAGCTTTGTGTATCATTAACGAAAATCCAAGCGCAGGGCTAAATACTTTATTAGAGGGCAATTTGCTTTTACCGACAGTATTATTAACTCTCCCTGGGTGTTTATCTCGAAAAGCTACAGGGTGCATTATTTACCAAAAATGTATAAATCATTAATCGATCTCGTTCAGACACACAGAGCAAAACAAATTATTGCGGAGTTTACCACGAGTTCAGGTGTTTATCTACCATTGTGATTCCGCTTTTATAGAGTCGAGATTTAATTTAAAATTAAATTGAAACAAACTCGCGTCTGGCTTCCCATCATTGCACACACCTATCCACGTTTCCCCATATACCCGCCTCGATGCTATCTCCTCTCCAAAACGCGAATAAATTTCCGTTGAGTTAAGTTTATTCCGAATGTTTAAATCATACAAAAATCAAAGTAAGTATACGAATAAGAGTAAATCCATTAATTCATGTAGCTTTGTTTCTTCCTTCTAAAATATCCTGCGGTAAGCGGAGGTCGATTCTAACAATTCTGGGGCCCGCGGGGCATGTAGCACATAACCGGAGGCGGCTCGTTCTGCGACATCGGTGGCTGTTGACATTGCCCTGACGCGCCGTAATTCGAGGTGTCCGGACAGTCGGAGTCCTGCTGCTGGTCGAACTGGTCGAACTGGCACTGCTGCTGGTCGAAGCACTGCGGCGGCCGGAAGGTCGGTTCGTACGACGGCGGCGTGTTCTGGTTAGGAGGTTCGCTGAACTGCGGCGGCGGCTTGTACTGCGACATCGGGGTGGTGCACCTGGGCGGGTAGGCCATCTGCGATATGGCGTTGGACGGCTTCTCTTCCATCCCGCAGGGCTCTTCTATGGCTGTAAGGCAAGGCGGTTGAGACGGGGGAGATTGCGCGGTTGTGGTGTACTTACGTATAGGACAAGCCGTCGGACACTGCGGCTTGCAGATGCACTTCGTGGCGTACTGACGCCAGGGGACCGGCCAGCACGTGGGACATTCCGAAGGGGTTTGGGTTTCAGACATTGGTCGGAGAGTGTTGTTTAATTTGTAATCAATTTTGGGTATCGATTTTGTATGATTTGGAAGTGTATAGAGGTTGTTTGGTACTTGTGTTCAACTAGAAATTTTTTTAGGTTTTTTTTGGACGATGAATTTTTAATGAAATATTTAATGTTATGACAATTGTCAAAATTTGAATGCCTATTTATCTTCATTTATTACTAAAGGTGGATTTATTCGTGTTCGAATAAACGTGTTAACTGCAATATATTTATCTGTAAGGTACGGAAACTCATGGATTTGCCGAATCTCTATTCAATTGATAATTGACGGAGGCTAAATTTATCTGCGGATTGATAAATCCACCCTAAATATAGCAACTGAAGTTACGTCACGGTTCGATTCGAGAATATTCCTTGGTCCAGATTGCTCCAGATACAAACAACATTTTCCTCCCTAAAACAAGATGACCATTGTTTACCTTCTTCACGAAGATGTTAATTCATTTTGTAATCATTCATTATGTGCTGCTTAGATTTGAATAGTCTACAGATATTTTACATGTATATAATAAGGAAAGATTAAACAGAATCAAGATTGCATGGGCAATCCCTAAGCTGTAGATTTAGCAGATGACGATAATTGTAAATGTAGTGAAAAGGACGAGGAAATTTCAATCAACTTTTTGGCTTACAATTAGTATCGTTTAAGTTAAGGGTACAATGTATTGGAGTACATCAACTAGAGAAGAAGAAAGCACCTTCTTTGAAGTCCCTCCAGGTACTACATACATTTACGTAGTACATTTACATAGAGCATCACCGTATAGTACCGACTATTATTAGTATCGTACTAGAATTTTTTTAAAGAAAACACTCGGTAGCTAACAGTAAATAAAACATCGAAACAACGGCCGTGATGTTTTCGTTGCTGTCTTGGTGAACCACTTTATTTACGTGTCATTCATTCTCATTTATTCACGCATTAAGTCAAAATTTCCGTCGTTGTCCCACAACATCTTAAAATTTCTCATTTTCCCTTGTTTTGAAACTATCCACGCATTTTTAACGCAACAGCTCACCGCCTAAATCGCCGTAAGTTGAATTCCCAGCAAATTATTCGTGCAATTAGTGTGTGTTTTACCCCTTTAGAGTAGAAAAGCAGCGAATCCGTAATGGCTGGTTACCAAGGTCGACCAACCTGCCCGCCTGCTTGCCCAGCGGCCACCACATTCCCTCCAGGCTCAACGCCCAGGGCGTGCGACCTGCCTTGCCCGCCCAAATGTTGCCCGCCCGCGTGTCCCCCAGCGTGTCCCCCAGCGTGCTGTCCGCCCAAGTGTTGCCCGCCAAAGTGTTGCCCGCCATCCTGTTGCCCCGGGGGATGTGGTCCCAAGTGCTGCTGCGGACCCTGCAGTCCCTGCCCGCCCAGTAAACACACTTAATATCTAACTTAATCAACTACCACTGGAGATTTTTGGGTTGAATTTAGTTACTTAACTAATTGACTTATCTCTAGTTGAGTAGATAAATGTTTTAATCAAATTCATCCGATTGGAATTGTTGAAATTTTGTAATTTTAGGACCGTGCTGTGCACCGTGCTGTGGACCGTGCGGTCCCACGATTCCTCGATGCCCCACTCCCTATCGCTAATGTTTGGGAGTTAATGGGAGAGAATTAGTAAGACAATTTATACAAACACACTGAGCGCATAGGATGGAGAAGCTGGACGTTGAGAACGACATTATCACCATGTAATTCAATAAAACATCCAAATTTAAAGGGATCCTTTGTTTTAATAAGAGATTTTCGTTCGTAAACTCGGTGCGCGACCATAAATATACTAGGGAGTATTCACTTTAAAAAAAACTGCTCTACCGTCTGTATGGGGATATAAATATAAAACGCGTCTAACACGCAGTAATGATAATTTATGGACAAAGGGTATAAGAAAAGCCCGATAATAAGGGGCATGAGAACTACGAAACAAGGAAACCCTTTGTGGCTCAACTCTACAGCGGATTTCCTTAACGATGACATACTTAAACGAACGAATTGCTACTTATAGTTTATATTTGAGGACAATTTCTGGATGGAGTCGTAAGTTGGAAGATCGGAGAGACCGCGTGCAGTATTTTTGGAGACTCCTTTTAATTAAACTACTTGATAAACGGCTGGTTGAAGGCGCTCCGGATTCCAACGAGTCCCTCCCCGGGATTCTCCCCGTTGATTTTCGGTCCAGAGCGAGGACAGCGAGGGGAGAAAAATTAACCGAGAAGGACGTGCTGCCGAAACTATCGAGGCCAGAATCGGTCGTGCCGACGAATGGATGCGCGTAAGATGATCTCTTCGGTAACGGAGGTCGATTAAATCGGCGACGGTTTGAATATTAATTAGCTTTGTATCGTTGACGAGGATTTGCGAAGCGTGCTTTGTGGGTTAATCCGGTTTTTTACTCCGGACGAGCCGATGCGACAACAGCGCTCGCTGAGTGTGTGGTAGGGGAAGAAAGACGAGGATAGATAGCTCCGTGTCGATTACAGTACACTTAACAATTCATTATTTACAACGTTTTAAGCAGGAATGACAAAGAATAATACGAAATAAATAAGACACATCGAGCGTTCGGATACCGGCCAAATGGCCCTATCGAAGTTATTTATTTTTTTTTTCGGGCGCATCCCGGGGGAAGTATTTGTTTCTTTCGGCACCTCCGGTTTTATTTTCGCCTTATTGATGAGGGTGAGGTACAGGCGATCCTGCGAGGGATATTTCGCATGTGTAAGTTTACTGACAAAAAAACGCACGCCGAACAGGCGATTTAACTACTCGACCATCGTTAAAATAAATAGAAATGATATACGTTATGTTTTAATTGAAGCATTTTATGACTGAGCCAAGTACGATGTAATTTGGTTTGCAATAAATTACATTTTATGAAATAGAAACTTATAGATTAAACGTCGAGACGTAATTTATTGCAAGATAGAAACGCTCTTTGAATTCGCTGTTAAAATGGATCTTTTGACTTCACTGATCTTTTAAAACCGTTGATATTTTTTATATGCTCCAAGGTTTTCTTGAATTTTAAATTTATTGTTACAGCGAAACATTATTTTCCTAGTCTATGTTCTACTTTTTGCTAAGACAGTAAGTTTTCTATAGTCTGTTCGCTATCAAGGTAGTAATAAAAGTTTCTTGAAGCAGTAAACCATAGGCGTGCTAACAAATTAATAAAAAGTAGGCACTATTGAATCAATAATTTTATAAATAATTAACAACGATTTGTAATAATTGCCGGGAACTGATTAAAATATCAATATAAAAGTGATGTTTAATTTTATTGTAAATAATTTTTCACAATTATCACAGAAGCACGGTACTGTGCACCTGGTGCAGGTCAGTTTTTCTGGAATTAGAAAAGGGTCGCCTATTTATAAATACCCTGTATACAGTGTGGCACTACTAAAGTAAAAAACATTATTAATACACTTTAAAAACGAGTTTTGGAGTCTTGTTGTGTTTAGCATACAAAATTTGTTTTTTTTTTATCTCCTGATAGCGAACGGAGTGTAATTCTGTCGCTTCCAACACATTTTATTTCGAATAATCATGTAACCTGTTGGTACTTTATTTTTCTTGCGTTTATTCTCGATCTTAATACGTCCACGTCCACGGCAAACAGTGGATCAAACACGTTTCTTTTCTCTCTCGCATTTTCCTTGCTAATTTTCTCCGAATGCGAAAAGCATCGAGGCAGAAGCTAAAAAGCAATCGATTTTCGCAGCTGGGTTGTGATCTTTTTTTTGCTGTATTTCACTTTCTCCGGATCGGAAAGAGTTTAGAACAAAACATTTCTTGGGAGATGAAGCAATTCTGCCTTTTTATTAATCTGGAGAAGGCGGAATTACACCTACTTTAGTAGAAGTTGTGTCGCGTAAGAAAAATTTGTTTTGAAGTTATTCAGGGAAACTATAAATTAGTTTTTTGACGGCTTCGAAGTAGTTTTATTGATACAGAGTGATGCTATATTGAATAGTTAATTAAAATAAGTCACGAAATTGATTTTCGTACGAAACGAACGTGACCGAAAATCGAATTTAAATTGTTTAATAATATTTTTTTATTTCAGCTTTATCGCTTTTTTTACAAACTTTATTGCATGGAAAAGGGCGCATTGTTCTGCTACTTATCCTTCGAGCTGTCCGTGCTGTTCTCCGGCCTTTTATTGTCCTCTATTGTGCCCGCGCCTTTTTTTATACCCTTTTATATTTAATTTGTTCCGTAGTTTGATATGTCTTCGTCAAATTTTTCAGATGATTTTCCGACCCCATTCAATATGTCATATACCAGCACATTCTTAAAAAAAATCCATCCAGCAATTCAATACATCATCAAATGTTTTAGCGACACAAATTTGAGTTCTAAAAAATGACCGAAACCTCGCAAGAAAATGACCAAAATTTCCGGGATCACCAAGATATATGGGACAAAGAGGATCGCCCTGTAGATGGTGGAGACACTCCACACTCCAGCAGGTTTCTTCGACGCCTTGGCCCATCGACATCCAGTCGAGGCCCATCAATAACAACCCCGGCGAGCGACACGGGCCCGGCGAGGCGCGCGATTCGGCGGCGGCGACGTCGACGACGCTCGACGCTCCACCGCTCAGTCTGTCGACGTCGACGGCGCTCGCTCGATCACCCACAGGATCCGGTCGCTGCGTTGGCGACGAAGCGCGGAACGTCCGACGGCGAGTTTGCTGCGCTCGCACGCGACTATTTCGTTTTTTCCGGGCGGTATTTTTTTTTTTGGTTCTCTTCTCCGGCGGACAGTTGTTGTGCGTTTGGGGGACATCCGAGGCGTTTGGATGAAGCTGGGGTTTTTTAAGCGGTAAGGAGATTTTTGATTGAATTGTTTTTTGGGTTGTTTGGTCTACGAAATACCGCGCTTTTTTATTTTTTTTGTTAGTTAGGATTTATTTTGGTCAGTGGTCATCGCGTTTGTCACCACTTTGTTATTTTCTAATATAAATGTTGTTGCGTAACTTTTAATAAACAAATGCATTTTATGAGATATTATTTTATTAATTTTATAGCTACTAAACTTCTAACGCATAAATTTTTTATTGTTTTTGAATTTTTCAACATACTATATACACATCATTTCCACTTATCAACTTCCCCTTCTAACATCATTAATAATCATTTTCTTACTCTCAATATTTTATTCCTTTGGAATTCGCCCTGTATATTAACGACTATTTATTCAGAGCGATGCGAAAGTGTATGGAAGTCGACGTGGAATAACGAAAAGGGTCATCGCAAAAGGTTTTATCGTTTATCACGAACGCATAATTTCCGTTCGAATAAATTTCGGACAGGGCCCGGTTATGAAGTGGCCGAGAGCACACTTAATACCTCAAGATTAGCCGAAATTGAAATTAAATTGCGCGAAAACGTCCGGCCCTACCGTTCTTTTTATACAACGCGAGGTGAAGCCTTACATCTATACAGTTACATAAAAAATAATGCATAAAAAACTCTATTAAACTCTATTAAATACTACTTATGGAAGTTTCAAAACCTTAAAACAGAGGGTCCAATTTATAGTGTGATTTATAACGATGAGAAAAATATAATTCGGGCTAAACATAGCAATATTTAGCATTTTATATTAAATTTTTATCATTATTAAGCGTATTTTTTACCGAATACCCAATTTCATTATAACAATAAACTGTACCTACACTATTGAAAATAAAATTCCGATATTCTGGTATATATAAAAGAATTTTATTCCACAACGAATAACCCTGGATATTTATCTACATATATGTAAGATTTATACCGATCCTTGGGAATATGAAAGGGACACCCTTTATTTACAAGTTTCCTTCGAGTGTGAAATTTCGCGTCTGCTTGTTGAGCGGCAATGGAGCCGTAAAAAATTAGGGGCTCATTGCGATAACCGTTCTTATACGCTTAAGCGCTCTAATCCGTCGCTCAATGGAAAGATAGAGCGCGGAAATTCGCGAGAGCGGCCTTTTGTGCGGCACATGGAAAGCGCAGATAAACGACGGTCGCGTGAAAAAATCGAATTCATTAGTTTATTAAAACGACAATTAGGTCCGGATCCGAAGCGTTACGGCCTCTATTTGCCGATGCGATAGTGCGGAAAATCCTCCCCGGGGGGGCAAAAAAATACTCATAATTCCACGAGTTAAGTATATATGTACATTCCGGTTCCGTTCGCTTGCATACAAACGATTCGATTTTCGGAATCGTTTGAATAAATTCCATACGCGAACGGGGATTATCCTGCCGACGAAATAGTTCAGAAACGTTCGCCAAACTAACTTTAACCCTCATTTACTTTACATTACAGATGGCTAAAAAGCTTAAAAAAGCTCACTTTACACCCTAATGTGTCGCAAAATTTCTTGTACATTCAAATTTAGTGAGTTTGCGGTGGAATAGTAACGCTGACAATTTAGCGAAATATCCCCAGCGTATTTCCTTAATGCTATTTGTAGTCAGATGCATTGTTGCATTGATGCATTTATAAGAAGTAGAATAGTAATTAGTCAAACGGAGTTTTTTTGCATTTTGCAACTATCAATGATATAGCGTAGGTGGCAGGTAATTGGGACCTAATTTTTGCGACAATCGAATTAATAACACGGAAATTAATTGTATGTAAATGCCCGAGAGAGGGAAGTTTGCCGGGCACAATTAGTAGTTTCGTAATTCCCGAACTAACTCCAATTTAACTTCCGCGCGGAATTAAAGGAGCGATTCCACCTGACAGCCTTCATATTAGCCGAAATTCGAATGGATTTCTTGCCGTTCTTCCCGTCGATACAACGGATCCGTCCGTGTGCGAGCTCCCGCATTGTATACTCGTTACGATAAATTTTGCAAATTTATTGCGGATTTTTTTGTTTCGATTTACCCGCGTGCATTCATCGAACCCGTCTACCGTTCACTCCCACTCGAATATTGCCGTGCGGAAATACCGTGGGCGATTTAATAATCCCATAACTGTTTAAATTGCATTTATTGTTTGCCGATTAATAATTATATAGCCAATAACAAAAGTACTTTTACTATAGAAACTCGATATCTAGTGATGCGTTTTCTATGATACCTACAAATTTATTAATAAAGAATCAATGCTATCGCAATATCGTTTGGATACATGCGTGTTTTATATGTAATAGATACTCGTCCCTATTCAAAAAAAAAACTCAATACCTATAATTTGTTAAAAAATCGTTTATTACTAAAGAATCAATACTACCACAATACATATAAAAAATCATGAATGGATTTTATAAAGCTATAGTATTCTGAATAAAATAAATTCAGCTATAGTCCATACAAATCGAAATGGCCAAGTTAATCGTGAATGCCCCTGATGGTACAATAACATGCCTATTTTTATACCTAGCATTTTACAATGGTTTTTGATAAGGTCTTTATTAATTCGGTTGTCGTGTTATCGATTCGAAAATACGTATGTATTTATGGAAATGAAGTTTTTATGACGTTATATAGGTGGTTGTGACAGCCGTCAATGGGAGAAGTCCAAATAGGGAGAATATCGAAGATCGGAAATTCGAATTCGGTGATAGCGGTTCTTTTTTTGTCGATCCCGTCTATTGACGTACACAGGGCGAGCTGGAATCTTTAGAAACCGACTATTCTTTTGGCGCGATTTAAATCAGAACGCGCTAAATTCGATACGGTAACTCTATAATGGAGCGCCAGGATGTAGAGGAATAAAAGAGGATTGAATTGCTGGCGATTTCGCAGTGGAAGGAACTTTTTTCCTCCTTTCCAGCCAATAACAGAGAACGTCTAGAAGCGAGGAAAAGAACTAATAATTCCTCAGGAACGAAACGTACCGGCGGATCTCAATTAGTTGGGAAGTTTCGAATTGTGTCAAGATAAGTTTTCACTTATTTAACCTTTTCCACCGCACACCGGAGGAATTTTCTCGCCGCCTTAGGGGGGAAATTAAAAATAATTAGGGGGACTTTTTTCTGCCTATCATTCGAAATTTAACGAACGGCTTCCGCGCACATCCGGAAAGTATCAGATAAAAATTCTATATCCGATTACAGACCAACGTGGCCGTGCAATAAAGTGGCTGTTTTACGGGCTGCAATTCAGGAAAATGGTTTTTGCGTTTTCGGGGTTATCTGCCCGGGAAATCTTGTTTGTCGTTTTGCACGAACGACATGATAGCGAGGCAACGCATAAAGTTATGTATTTATTATACGTGATGTAATATGGGAAAAAATTGAAATTTCCCATCGCCACTCACTCGGTTCTTCAATCAACAGGAACTCATTTTCAACTGAATGAAATTGGAAATATTGATTCAGTGATAATAAATTAATAAATAAATAGTAAAAATTTGTAATGTATACAGTGAAGTTTAAAATTAATTATATCATCGTAATTAAAGGTGTTTATTGGTTTGTTCGATAAGAAAAATTTGTTCTGTTAACACGCGTAAAAGTTCGATTGATTGTTTTTCATACTGTTTATGACTTTTATAATCGCATTTAGTGTTATTATCGCTGGTGTTTTATTTTTAAATTAGCGATCCGCAAGGTTCAATTAATTCGTAAATTAAATTTATCATTGATATTTCACAATACGAATAATGATGGTAAAATCAAGGCTCGAAGTATTGACACTTAAAAATTATTACTTCATTACTTCATAGTAATTATTAAAATTTAAATAGTTGAATGTAAATAAACAATTAATTAAAAAATAACCAAGTTGGTCGATAACCTATTACAATTTATAATAACATAAAATGGTATATCATAAGGAGGAATGTAAAATAACTGTCGGAGAGATTCGACGAGGGTTGGAAAAAATCAACAATTTCCAAAGCGCACGAACCGCAGAGATTATATATTTTTTGTGGTATATTTATCATACTAGAGATACTCTCGAAATGAGCTAAAGCAATAGAAGTTCTTATAAATATGTCTTTCGGAGTTTTGCGGTTTACTTCAGCTCCACCTTCGGGCGTTTTGAATCTCCTTTCTGATGTACACCTCAATAATAATTCGGAAAAGTTTACGTGAGGAGACGCCGAAAAAACCGCTCCGGGAATTTTCAACTTTTCCTACCTACTTAGGCGGACTTATCGTCATATTTCCAGAAGGAGAACGACATCTCGCCGAACCGCGAGTCTTCGTTATTTATCTTTCTTTTGTAACGAAAATTTTAGTTTTAATGAAATCGCAACCGATTAGGAAAGTATAATTTTGCAATTTTCGCTCGAGCGGAATTTCCTCCGGATGGAAGGTTCCAATCCGATAAAATAATATTTTTGTATTATAGAACGAATTTTACAATAATCCTTTTCCAACGTTTCCTTCGCTTTAATTAAGCCCCTAAAGAATCCCGTTTGGACTCTTCTTTTTGCTCGATTCGACGGTTGTCTCGTCTACAAAACCATCCAGCCGGATAAATTGCGTACTAAAGAGGAAGAAGAAGATGTTGTGAAGAACAAACGACCCGTTCGTTAAGGGTAGTTAAATTTATAATAGGCGAAAATTTTAATTTGCCATGAATTCGTGCCAGGCTTAAAATCGAAGAGTTCGCTTTGTCAACGGTTCGCCGGGCTTAAAAATATCTGTCTACGCGGGCACAAACGATAAACAGCAAAACAGCCCATTATGAAACGGAAAAAATCAATCCAGCTTGCTCGGAAAAAATTGCCGATTGTGTGGAAAAAATATTAACAACAATACAGGTAGCTAGCGCCCGCGTCGAAGGTAATCCTTTAACGATCGGTTAATTAAATCCTTATAATTCGTGATAAAAACCTGATAATATTGAGGCGAGCAATCGCGTCGATAA